TAAAAGAGAAGACTTTTAGGCAGACAAACAAGTCAGAACAATGCAGTGACAAGAAGACTAGAAACTGTTCAGAGTCTCCTCTGATGCAGTTTATTCACATCGGTTTTTACAAATGCATCTGCTTATGATGATCAGCATCTAAAACCGTCATCATTATCTAAAAAATCTAAAACCGTCGGAGCTCAATCGAATCTAGACCTAAAATTTTCAAGTCCCAGAGAGAGAGAGAGAGAGAGAGAGAGAGAGAGAGAGAGAGCAATCATCTCCTCTCTTTTCTTTAACCATCCATCCATTTGCAAAGCAAACAAAGCAAAGCAAAGGAATGTCAATCGATCATAGCTAAGCTAAGAGCTGGAGGATATGAGGAACATTCAGAACCCAAATCCGAATCGACCCAACAAGAGATATGATTTTTTTCCCTAAAGGAAATTCCCTCTCTTTTCGATCTTTCCACTTGCATTTTCTCAGCTTTGCTGCTCATCAATCAGAGAAGAAGAAACAAAGTTGGATGGTGCTTTACTCTAAGAACCTTAACCGGTGACAATTAGCATCCCGTTGGATTCCTAATGAGCAATGGCCGTTCCTTTTCTGCATCGCTGCCCACATTGCATTATTCTCCTCCTTAGCCCCCCCAAGCATATGCATGCAAAAACCGCGGAATAACTAAGGGAGGGCCCACATGTCAGTGCGCTCTGTTGCTGTCTACACTAGATACTTACACACGCCTATTATAGAGACATGTCTCGAGCACATTGTATTCTCAGCTGATAGTGAATACTGTAGATCTTTTTTTAAAAAATAATGGGTATTTCATTGAGTGACAGAATTACGGGTTGTTTGGTTCGGGACCTTAGGGGTTGTTTGGATGAGTGCCAAATTTTATTGCCCTTGTAGCGCGCTTTGGCGACTTAGGACTAGTTCGGTTATCAGAAGTCGGGCCATAGATGTTCAATCTCTGACACCCTCTTACAAGACTAAGTTATTAATCTCGCTATACCTTTTTAAGTCATTGATGTTTGGGATCTAGCTAGTTTGTTATAGGGTATTTTGTCGTAACTATGGCTACAACCAAACAAATATTTAAGTTGCTTGCTTAAGCTGAGACGTGGTAAAATATGGCAAATTATGGACACAAACCAAACCGTCCTATCTTTGGCCTCGTCTGTATGCAGGGATGCACGTATGTAAATATAAAAGTAGTGGAGTACATTGTAAATCCTGGTGTACATGGAGTTGTAACCATAGTTCTACTTTTCTTTCTTACTTCCATGTGATCCGGAACGATTTTCCAAGAGAACTGACAAAAAACACACACAGCAAGTAGCAGTAGCACTGTCATGGATGGAACCGAGGCAAAATTCAGAAATCCGAATAGCAAACACCACCAAAAAGTACACACTCAACACTGGAGAACAAAAAGGAAAAACTTGGGGGTAATTAATCAAAACCTCGGTCCATCGATCGATCAGATCAGACCATGGAATTTAGAGCAGGGCAATGCAGGTAATTAAATTAAATTAACCAATCAACAAGATCCATCCATGCTGACGATCTTGTTCCAGTACACTCACTGCTCATTGGCCCGGAGGCCGAAGAGAAGATGGGGGCAAAGCTCGCTGGGATCATTTGGTGTGGAAAGGCGAGCGAAAAAAATGGGAAAAGAAATGGCAGCTCTAGGACTAGTATCAGCTGGTGGTATTGTATGCATGGGTCGGAGAGAAATGAAAAGAGGAGGAAGACGATGAGGGAGGGGAATATTCTTGGCGTCGGGCCAGACAAAAGGGATATTCAGAGGACGATTTTGGTCAGGGAAGGCAGGCCACCACTGACCAAACCACGCGTGTCACGACGACAAAGTTGCCTCAACGGCTCAACGGTTAGACCCAGGGTTTAACTTATCACTAATTTTTCGAAGTGAAAACAGCTCCTTACTGATTTGCCAAAAGCTGATAAAAAAACAAAAATATTCGATCAATACCGTACGAAAACCGGCTAACATAAACCGATTTTTCACAAACGAAAACTTAGTGCAACATTTCTATGAATATATACAAAACTTTCTATGAGACATCTTTGAATTTCCGATCAAATATGAGCCACTATGTATAGCTTTGTCATCCTTCTTGTAAAACATTTACAGAGGCGGGGCTCCTATTAAAAACGTCAGCTGTACGAACAAATCATTTTATCGATGGACCGCTTAAAAAGGTCACATGTATATATCATTTCCACGCAAGATTATATCCACTAGCGGCTTCTTGTCCACCTGTGGAAACAACCATTTTCACATGCCTTTACTTAGAGGCGGGCACAAAACCTGCCTATAGAAATGCATTATTTAGCCCGCCTAAAAAAACGTTTAATTCCGTATGTGTAGGGATAAGTGTACATATCAGAACAATTTTTCTAATGCTACAAAACATGTACCGCAAATTCTTTAAGTGCTTGCTCCGTAACATATTATAAGTTGTTTTGGTTCTTTTAGTCAAACTTTTTATAACTTTGACTAAATTTATCGAGAAACAAGCTGACTTTTGTAATACCAAATCAGTTCCATTAAATATAATATTAAATATATTTTGATTGTATGTTTGGTATTGAAAATATTGCTATAATATTAAATATGTTATTGAGATACCGATGTCATATCTTAAACTTTACAAAATTATAATGGTATGGTTCCAAATTACCCTATTTTTAATAAATTTAGTCAAGCTTACAGAAGTTTGATGAAAAAAATAAAACTACTTAGGGTGTGTTTAGTTCACGCTAAAATTGAAAGTTTGATTGAAATTGGAATGATGTGACGGAAAAGTTAGAAGTTTGTGTGTGTAGAAAAGTTTTGATGTGATATAAAAGTTGGAAGTTTGAAGAAAAAATTGAGAACTAAACCAGGCCTTATAATATAAATGGAGGGATTACATGCCTAAAAACATGTAGCGTGAGTAAGACCAATGAATTCATGCATGCATAGACAACAGATGTGCAAGCTAGTGTTCCTGTACACACATGCATGTATTGGTCTGTACCTTGTACGCGAATATTCTTGTCTCTGGACCATGCAAATGTATATGCATGCATATATATACTTTTGGGGCATGTACATGTACGGTGTTCAGGTACGTAGATGATATACGTATATACGTATACATGGGCTAGCTATACGTTGGATATATAGCATGCAGTACGACGACTGCGACCATGCCGTTCGTACAGAGAGAGAGAGAATCCATGGAAAAGGTAGGGATTGGAGTCTTGTACCTCAAGATTGCCCCAAGAAAGCGACCAACCCTAATTATTGCACAGGGAATTCGATGCACTAAAACACACACACACACACACACAACACCTTTCTCCCACCTCTTCTTGTGTGTATGAACTAGCTAGAGAGAGAAATCAAGAGAGAGAGAATCTTCTTAGCTTCCTCCCCAATTCCTAAAAAGCCAAGAGTAGTAGCAGCAGGGAGATTCTCACATTCTCCTTCCCTTCACCCCTCTCTTCTCTCTCTCTAAAGGACACCATGTCTTCCTTTGTGGTGTCCTTTTGTGCGTGTGCTTCATATCCCCCTCCAAAGCCTTAAGATATTCCTTGCTTGAGCCATGCTGATATATTCCCTTGTGAATGCAAAGTGTGCCAGTCCTCCTATCTATCTAGCTATCTCTCTATCTACACACACTCACTAGACTACCATATGTGCTATAACAGTGCCACAACATGCATATACATGTACATAAACACATGCATGTGTGAAGAAGAAGAGCACAGAAGAATTTTGGAGCTTGTGTGTGAAGGGATGCAGCTCACCCCTTTTCAAAGCAAAGAGACCTAGGGCATGCGATCTTTTTTCATATCTTTGGCTTGAATTATGTGTGATATATGCTTTTAGTACTGCTTTACCCATTTAATTCCTTCCTCCTTTGATTAATCATGTAAAGAATCTTCACCCATTAGAACATCAACCAGTAAAGAGAGAGAGAGAGAGAGAGAGAGAGAGAGAGAAAAGAAAAGTTGATTAATTGGCCCTTGTCTGTTGGATGTGAGAATCTATGAATATCGGTATCGATAATTCCCGGTTGAAATTTAGGTACTAATATAGATTTCTTTTGATTTTTTGTAATGCAAGTTGGGGAGTTGGGAGAGAGAGGGTGGTGTGATTCCCACAGCTAGGTATATCTGGTGATTATCCCCATTGCAATATGCTTTAAAACCCAATATTAGGTAAAATGTAAATATTCCCCAAGACACCTAGCTGGGTTCTCTTAGACTCTTGCAAGGTTCTCTTTGGACTACTTTGAGCTTTGAGCTCATCTTTAATTCGATCCCTTGAATCAGACGCACCCCGGCGTTAAGCTTTAGTTTTCCCCTTTTTCCCTGCTGCATTTGCCCGGTAGATTCTTAGATTTGTTGTAAAGTTAAACTTACCACAGAAATGAGGCAGGCAGCATCTTGATCTGTAAAAAAAAAAAAGGATTAATGGCAAAGAAAGATACATTGAGATCATAGCAGCTGATCAGCTAGGCTAAAACAGTGTAATTTGAACAGGACAAGAAGACGTGGCTAACAAAAGTTTCAGTTTTTCAGTCACGCATGCATGCTGAAAAACAAAACTGCATGCATGCAGTGTACAAACACTGATCAGAGATATTCAGAAAGCAGGCAGTACATATTTGAATGGAGCAGAGAGAAATCTATATATATATATATATATATATATATATATATATATATATATATATATATATATATATATATATAGAGAGAGAGAGAGAGAGAGAGAGAGATCTAGAGAGAGAATGCAATGCATGGTGCAATATATGCAATATGGACCCATCTGGTCGTAATGTTAGGAGATATGTTGATTCCCCTGTTGGTACGTAGTACATGAAACCTCCTGCATGCAGAGGAGGAGCAGAATTAACCTTTTTCTTTTTGTTTTTGTTTGCCTTTGATCTTTGCAAGAAGTTACCATGCCTTTGCTTTATCCCCCTATCTCTCTCTCTCTCTCTCTCTGATCTCTCACTACTGTTGCTAGCTAGCTATAGCTGTTTAGCTAAGTGTATATGTGCAAGATCATACAAAGCTAGCTTTTCCTTTTCCTCTAAATCCAACTTTATTCTCCTCTTCCTTCTCCCAAAACTCTCCCTTAAAAAGAAGCTGATTCCCCATCTGATCCCTCATCAAAACCCTTCTCACATTCGATCTCGATCACTCACACTTACACTCGCAGTTTGCACAGCTACTTCATCTCAAGTAGTAGTAGTAATATACTAGCTAGATCGGTCGGCTATTTGCTGTAGCTAGCTAGCGTGAGCTAGCTTGGTTTGTAGAGCTTGTATACTTGGAGGGAGGAGATCGATAGCCATGGCTTCTTCGTCTTCTGACCTAACCCTAGACGACCACCACCATCTGACGGCGGTGGCTGCGGCGTCGGGGCAGGCGACGCAGAAGCTTCAGGAGTTCTTGTCACGTCTCGAGGAAGAGAGGCTCAAGATCGACGCCTTCAAGCGTGAGCTCCCTCTCTGCATGCAGCTTCTCAATCATGGTGAGTAATTGTATGTAACCTAAGCTAAATCGATCGCCATGGCTAACCCTAGCGAGGATTGGTGTGTGTTTGCAGCTATGGAGGCGTACAGGCAGCAGCTGGAGGCGTACCAGATGGGGAGCCAGCATAGCGCCGCGGCGGCGGCGGCGGCGAGGGCGCCGCTGGTGCTCGAGGAGTTCATACCGGTGAAGAACATCGGGATCGACGTCGTGGCGGCGGACAAGGCGGCGGCGGCGGGGGGCAACAGCGTGTCGTCGGAGAAGGCGAGCTGGATGGTGTCGGCGCAGCTGTGGAACGCGCCGGCGTCGGCGTCGGCGGCGGACACGGCGGCGAAGGGGCCCCAGACGCCCAAGGAGCACTCGGAGCACCACCCGCTCGACACGAGCCCCAAGCTGATCACCGCGCTCGACGGCGGCGGCGGCGGCGGCGGCGCGTTCCTGCCCTTCTCCAAGGACAACGCCATGGGTGACGGATCAGCCGCCGCCGCCGCCGCGCTGCCGGAGCTCGCGCTCGCGCCCGCGGAGAAGGCGGCGGACGCGATCACCATCGCCGCCGGCGAGGTCGACAAGAAGCCGTACGCCCACGACAACGGCGTCGTGGCGAGATCGAGAGAAGCCCAGAACGGCGGGAAGCCGCCGTCGACGCCATCGGACGGGCAGGCCGTCCCGCCGCCGCCACAGCCCCACCGGAAGGCGCGCCGTTGCTGGTCGCCGGAGCTGCACCGCCGCTTCGTCAATGCTCTTCAGATCCTCGGCGGCGCCCAAGGTACAGTACACCTACACATGTAACTCGATCAAGATCGAACACCATGATTACATGCCGTACCAAAGATGAAAAGACAACAAACAAATTAATCTTGAGCTTGCGTTTTTGTTTTGTTCTTTGCAAATTAAAGTGGCGACCCCGAAGCAGATTCGCGAGCTGATGAAGGTTGATGGATTGACCAATGATGAGGTGAAAAGCCATCTCCAGGTAGGGTAATTATCATCTCATCATGCAATTCATCCATCTCACGTACGTTCTTAATTAAATACTGTTTAAATTGATCATTGACTACAAGACAGTATGATTAACTGATTGCTAGACATGAATGCCATAATGAGCATTTTGATCTGAATTTTTTTTTGTTTGGGCAGAAGTACAGGTTGCACACAAGACGGCCGATGCCGTCGCCGGCGCCGCCGACGGCAGCGACGCCGCAGCTGGTGGTGCTGGGAGGCATCTGGGTGCCGCCGGAGTACGCGACGCAGGCGGCGGGGCCGGCCATCTACGGCGCGCACCCGGCGACGCAGCCGCACTACACGGCGGCGGTGGCGGCGCAGGAGTACTACCACCACCACCACCACCACCTGCAGCACCACCCCGCCGCCGCCGCCCTGGTGCACCACCGCGCCGTAGCCCCGCCCCCGCCGCTGCCGCCTCAGCAGCAGCTGGCCCCTCCCTACAGCGCCAAGTCGTCGGCGTCGGCGAGGCTCGGGTCCCCGGACTCCGACGGCCGTGGCAGCGGCGGCGGCGGCGGCGCCGCCGCCTCCGGAGCCGGAAGGGACATGTCCGAGAGCATCGAGGAGGAAGGCGAGGGCGAGGAGCGGGAGGACGACGACGACGACGACGAGATGGCGGCGACCAACAACGCCCACGCCGTCGACGGCGACGACGACAACGACGAGATCAACACCACCACCACCACGAGCGCGGGAGCGATTAACTACTAATTAATCAACCAAACCAACCAATCAAATCACCACGCGTCGTAATTAATTACTCATTAGTAATAATACTAGCTAGTAGCTTAATTAATCGCGCTAATCCGGGAGATTAATTAGCGTCACCTGGAAAAAGGGAAAAGTGATTTTTTGTTGGCGCGCGCGCGCGGAGAACGGGAGCCGAGCCGAGCCGAGCCGACCAGAGAAGGAGCAGGAGCTTGAGCTTGTCTCACTCGTTGATGTGATGCATATGTATGGAACTATGGATCGATGGATAATGTGAGGGCTTTACTTTGCTTTTGCTTTTGCTGGTTTTTTTTTCTCCCTCTTGTTTTTCTTCCTTTTTTGGGACTCTCAGCTGTTCCTGATTTAATAATCCGGTAGTACTAGTAGTAAATATCAAAATTATGTGATGGTGGAGAGATTAAATATGAGCTAGATGTAATTGTTTGGGAGATTATGTTTGTTGTTGTTGTTAAGTTGAGAATTGTGAAGAGCCACCAATAATGCATAATGCAGGGTTTGCTTCTGCAATTAATGTGATTATATGTGAATGGTTCTAATTAATAGTAGTTGTTATGTTTTGGTATGCACAAATATAGCATATGACATTAAATTTTCCAATGGGATAATGATATGCTTGGTGGTACCAAGGCTGTGTTCAGAACCTTTGTTCCAACTTCTCTTCTCGTTTTTCGCGCCCACGTTTTTCTAAACTGTTAATAGGTGTATTTTTTCAAAAAATTTCTATACGAAATTGCTTAAAAAATCATATTAATCATTTTTTTAAAAAAAATAGTAAATACTTAATTAATCATGCGCTAATGGACCGTTCCGTTTTTCGTGTGCACAGCTTGTGCTGGGAACATAGGGTTCTGAACGCAGCCTAAGTACTCCATCCGGCAAAGATTACTTGATATTTCCGACAGCTAAAATCCATTAAGCGCAAGTTATTTTGTTTGTCCGAAACGTCATATAGTATTATCGTCCAGGGAATATATTGCAGCTTTACCGCTGTAGAAGCAATCCTGACACTTTGAAAAGCAACAGCCGCATCGATTTTCAGGAATTTTTGCGATGGCTATTCAGATTCTTGATGTTTTATAAAAGTCTACTGGTCAAAGTTAATTTAGTTCTTTATTAATTCTTCGCATAAATAACACCCTTTTCACCATATTTTGACTATAGGAGAATATTTTTGGAGACAAACATATCAACTCGGTTGACTCTTTTATTTGCAAGAACTTTGATTATTACACTTTTAAAAATGAACTTTGATGATTACGCAGTATTACAGCGGTTTTAGCCTGCAATCAACTGCAGGCCCATGAATACAGTTTTAGCTATACTAGTGATGGACCATTATGGGCCAGGCCGTATTTAACAGCCGTCTCAGAAAAGGAATAAGTTTATCATGACTTCCTCACTCTCGCTCCTGATTGAATTGCTTCCCTCAACCGTAAAACCAGGTATAATACATCTACCATCTTCGAAAACCGGTTCAAATTGACTTCTTTGTTGGTTTTAGAAACGGTTTCTACTGACGTGGTATGTTGGCAGCATCAACAGGTAGAGCCCACGTGTCAGGGCTCTCCTTTATTCCCCTCCTTCTCTCCCTACAGTGGGAGACTGCTTTGTCCCCACCCTCTTCTCTTCCTGCATTGGGAGACTACTTTGTCGCCATGGCCCAGGTCAACGAGGCACTCGAGGACCAGGCGCAGGTGGTGGCCTTGTCGGCGTGTACGACGGCCATAATAGCCCCAAGGCGGTGTAGTTGATCAACAAGAGGCTCTCCTCCCACATCGAAGGAATCATCCAAGCGACTATGGTGGCGAGCCAAACCTAGAAAGGTGCAGTGATGGTGACGAGGTAGGAGATGAGAAGAGGGTGGCGACGCAAGGGTTCCAATTGCATCCTCCAACATGTCTCGTCTCTGCTACCGTCTATGACGAGAGAGGGTACCACCTTCCTCGGCTCGTCAGTCCGACTTGCCACCACCAAAGCCCTCTCCGGAGTCCAGTTCGCCACCACCACCGTCCTCTTGCTGTTGAAAGGTCGGAGAGGAAGAAAAGGGGAGAAAGGTGGGTTAGCAAATGAGGTAAGTTATTGACATGTGGGTCCCAAGCGCTCAATCAACGAGTCATCCGTGGTCAACCTACCGTGCTAGGTGAAATTGCTTCCCAAACTATTAAATGAGTCGATTTGCACTAATTTTTTTTAAGTCGGAGAAGACATTATACCCGTTGTTACAATTGAGGGAGACGATTCAATAAGAATCAAGAAATGAGAGAGAGAATATAATTTATTTCCCAAGAAAAACACATGCATATACTACTATTTCTGGGCCGAAACGAGTTGAGCATGATGCCCTCATCCCACCTGTCCGATCAAATAACAACGCTTTATATTCGGCACCGAAAGATTGAGAGGAAAACTAACATTTTTCGCGGGTACGTTTTTCAAATGATTTAACAGTACGTTTTTATTAAAAAATTAAAAAACTATATTAATATATCTTTTAAAATTTGAATACGCTAACTACTCATCATTTACGATCTTCTCACATCCTCTCCTCTCAAACAAACTAGATTCGTCGCTGCAACCCAACGGTCTCCGTACTCCGGCGAGCCGCCGTCCCGCTCCAGACGCGGCGCGGCCGTCTCCTCCGGCGCCGGCCAAGATCGAGGTGGATAGCAACACTGCAACACACATAACTCTAGAAGTAATTAAATATCTCTCTCCACGGCCACGTGCGGCCATGTGACGGCGCGACGTCCCTCTCGTGGCCTCAGCCGCCCTGACATGGCACGGGCTTCCCCGTGCGGCGAGCGGCCGGCCGGCCGCGATGCCCGCCGCGGCGGCCGCGCGCGCCACCTGCGTCGCTTCGTCAACTCCCCCATCCTCACCTCGCTGTAACCCTCACAGTTGCGAGATAATCTCCGAAATGCCACTGCTCGTTTGTACCGAGACGATCCTCTCACAGTGGCAATCCTGTGATAAGTCACTCTGATCAGGGGCATTCTCGGTGATCAAGGGTGTAACCCTCTGTTTCTGGGTCACTTCGTCGCAAAGTCAACCCCCAATACTATACTAGAACCCTTGATTGATTCGATGATGCAGAAGGGGAATTAAGGTGTGGAAAAAGATAATGCGGGGGAAGCATCCATCCATCAGTGTTGTTCAGTGGTGGTAGATTAGATTCCAGCTGATCCAATCTGGTCCGGGAATTTTTTCTAGATCTGACACCACATTCTGGTCAAATTCAGAGATCCATGCTGCTCTAGTCTGTACTAGAGCCGTCCTTGGTGAACAGTTCTTCGACACTCACCTCACTCTCATCGAGGTCTCCCAGCTTGAGGAGCACTGAAGAAATTTCTATGTTGAGGTCAGTGATCTGATCATCTGATCATGCAAGCTGAACAGGATTAGTTAGATATGCTGCAGAAATTTTATTAGATTTTTTGCATTCTTCTGCAAGTGTTACTGCATAGTTGTGTTCATCCAAGTTGATACTGATCTGATCATGCAAGCTGAAAAGGATTAGTTTTACTGCATTGTTGTGTTCATCCAAGTTGCCAAGAAGTGTGAAGATTTTGATGTCAATCACTCACTTGGTCAAATTTGATCCAAAGCAGCGTTGCTAAATTCATCTGAGTTCAGATTGCGAGTTTGTGACATTGGGTTTGGTTTTGCGCAGCAATGGTGTCAAGAAGTCTGCAGCTTGTCGGCGCGTTGCTGCTGCCGCTGCTCGCCGTCGTGTCGTCGTTTGATCCGTTCCACCGTGATGCGAACCCCATGGGCGGCGGCGCCGGGCAGGGCCCCTTCATCCCCCACGAGTACGTCCGCTTCGCCGACGTGAAGCGGCAGTGCAAGTCCGTGCTCTCCTCCGCGGCGGAGCTCACGTTCGACGCCAACCGCGCCAACGGCCTCATGCCGGAGCTGTCCTTCGTCAAGGGTGACTGGAAGCACGACGGCGACGGCGACGGCGGCGGCGGCGCGCCGCTGCTGCCATTCGACGGCACCGACGTGGCGGAGGACGCCGCCGCCGGGGCGGCGCGCGACCCGCTGCCGCTCGCGTCGTTCTCGCTCACGCACGTCGACGCGGCGCGGCGCGGGAGGACGGCGCTGAACGTGAGCGGCGTGCTCGGCGTCGCCATCTCCCGCAACGGCACCGGGCCGGAGATGGGGCCGTACGTGTCGCCGGAGTTCAAGGTGTGGCCCGGGAACACCGAGCTGAAGGTGCTGCTCGAGGGGGTGTACACCGAGAACGACGACGGCGAGAGCGTGCTGTGCATGGTCGGCGACGCCGTCCTGCCGGCGCGCGGCGGCGACGCCGCCAACCCGTGGGGCTGGGCCAAGCACTCCGACCGCGACAGGTTCCAGCCGCCGATCACCAAGGACGGCAACATCCTCCTCGTGCTCCGCTACCCCAAGACGCTGACGCTGACGACGCGCGCCGTCCACGGCGAGCTCACGAGCACCAATGGCAAGACCCACGCCGCCTACTTCGACGCCGTGCACCTGCTGTCGCAGCTCGGCGCCTACTCCAACTACCAGTTCGGCTCCGAGGAGCTCGTCGGCACGGCGTGCAAGCCCCACCCGTACCGCGACGACGTCCTCGCCGGCGGCGGCGGGGACAGGGGGCTGTACAAGGGCACCTCCTTCTGCGGCATCCTCGACAGGTTCACGTCGGAGGACGTGCTCGCCGTCGTGCCGAACTGGAGGTGCAACACGACGGACGACGCGCTCTGCCGGCGGCTGGGGCCGTTCGAGACGGACAAGGCGGTGGACGCCACCGACGGCGGGTTCGCCGGCGTCAGGATCGTGATGCAGGAGGTCCGGTGCGAGCCGAGGACCGACGGCGGCGAGATCTCGGCGAGGGTGTCGGCGGTGTTCCGCGCCGTCCCGCCGTGGGAGCACGCGTACACGGCGGCGAAGCGCAGCGGGCTCGGCGGCGCGACGATGTCCGCCGAGGGCGTGTGGCGCGCGTCCTCCGGCCAGCTCTGCATGGTGGCGTGCCTCGGCGTCGGCGCCAAGGCGTGCCACTCCCGCGTGTGCCTCTACCTGCAGACCACCTTCTCCGCCACTCGCCGCAGCATCACGGTGGGCCAGATCACCAGCATCGGCGGCGGTGCCGCCCACTTCCCGCCGCTGACGTTCCAGCGGACGGTGCACCCGATGGAGCTGTGGAGCCGGTTCGGCGTCACCGGCGGCGAGCCGCTGAGCTTGGCGTACAGCTACACCAAGACCAAGCAGGCCGGCGAGTTCCTCCGGCGAAGCGAGCCGTTCGACTTCGGCACCGTCATCGCCAAGTCGCTGCTGAGCTACCCGAGGAAATCCGGCGACGCCGCCGACGAGACGACGAGCCTCTCCAACCTCGCCGAGGAGCTCACGCTCCACGTCGCCGCCGTGCCGGATCCGTTCCCACGCGGACGATTCGAGCGGCCATTCCTTCAGCTTGAGGTGCTCTCGCTCGGATCGCTCGTCGGCCGGGCCTCGCCGGCGACGTTTCCGGGGACGCCAGCTGCGGTAGGGCAAAGCATGGCATCATCATCGTCGTCGACGACGACGAAGCTGGATGCGACGGCTATCCTCAACGTGTCGGCGGAGCTGACGATCTCCGGCGACGCGTACGTGAACGTGTCGACGCTGTCCTTGGAAGGCGTGTACAACCCGGTGGATGGCCGGATGTACCTCATCGGCTGCCGGAGAATCCAGGCGCCGTGGCGAGCCTTCTCGGCGATGGGCGGCGTCGAGGAAGGCATGGACTGCTCGATCGAGGTGAGGGTGGAGTACCCGCCGACGACGGCGCGGTGGCTGATCAACCCGACGGCGAAGGTGCACATCGCGAGCACGCGCGGCGGCGGCGACGACCCGCTGCGGTTCAACGCGACGGCGCTCCAGACGCTGCCGATCCTGTACCGGGAACAGCGGCAGGACATCCTGTCGCGGCGGAGCGTGGAGGGGATCCTCCGCGTCGTGACGCTGGCGGCGGCGATCGCCGCCGAGTTCAGCCAGCTCATGTACATCAAGTCCCACACCGACGTGATGCCGTACGTGTCGGTGGTGATGCTGGGCGTCCAGGCAGTCGGCTACAGCGTGCCGCTCATCACCGGCGCGGAGGCGCTGTTCGCGCGCATCGCCGCGTCGAGCGGCGACGGCGGCGCGACGCCGCCGCCGTCGTACGAGGTGGACAAGAGCCAGCTCTACTGGACCATCGACTGCGTCGTCAAGATCCTCATCCTCGCCGCGTTCCTCCTCACGCTCCGGCTGGTGCAGAAGGTGTGGCGCTCCCGCATCCGCCTCCTCACCCGCTCGCCGCTGGAGCCAGGGCGCGTGCCCAGCGACAAGAAGGTCCTCGTCTACACCTCCGGCGCGCACCTCGTCGGCTTCGCGGTGGTCCTCGCGGCGCACTACGTGAGCGTGCTGGCGCGGCCGGTGAGGTCGGAGGCGTCGTACATGGACGCGCGCGGCGAGGCGCACGCGCTCCGGGAGTGGGCGGTGACGCTGGAGGAGTACATCGGGCTCGCCCAGGACATGTTCCTGCTGCCGCAGGTGATCGGGAACGTGGTGTGGCGGATCAACTGCCGGCCGCTGAAGACGGGGTACTACGCCGGCTTGACGGCGGTGAGGCTGCTGCCGCACGTGTACGACTACGTGAGGGCGCCGGCGATCAACCCCTACTTCGCGGAGGAGTACGAGTTCGTGAACACCAGCCTCGACTTCTACTCCAGGTCCGGCGACGTCGCCATCCCGCTCGCCGCCGTCGCGCTCGCCGCGGCGGTGTACGTGCAGCAGCGGTGGAACTACAAGATCATCAGCAAGACGGTGAAGACGCAGCAGAAGAAGCTGCAGCACCTCGGGTCGCGGGTGTACGAGCGACTGCCGTCCATGTCGTCGGCCAACTTCGAGGCCGAGCTCGTCGCCGGCGTCAACGAGGGCGTCGGCCATGGCCTCCGCCGCGACGCCAGCTTGAGCTAGCTAGCTACACTGCTACACCTCATCGATCAATCGCCTCTCTTAATTACTCAGTAGTCTTCTCTTGTTGCTTTCTTAGGTTTTTATGATGTTCTTCTTCTTCTTCTTCTTCTTCTTCTTCTTCTTCTTCTTCTTCTTTATTTCTTCTTAATTAGATCTTCAGATTCTTCTTATGATATCCAAATGTACTCTACTACAAGTTCAATAAAGTTTTAGTTTCTTATAGCTCTTTGTTCACATTTCTGCACTTCTTGTGTGTGTGTTCAGCTTATGTGACACAAAGTGTTCGTGCTGACAAATTACTTTCCGATATTGCGTGCTCTTGGTGAACACATTCCAAGTTTCCAATAGGTAACTAGACAATGATATTATTTGATTATTATAGATTGTCAACGATGCTAAGATGATTAATTAGCAGTCTTCTTGTTTGACAATTCTGTCAAGCAAGCTTGCTTGCTAGTTAGTTAATTACTACACTGATTTGTGCTTAACTTCTGCCAAGTGAATAACTGAATATAATGCACCTAGTTGTTGGTTGGTGTTTAAACAAATTAAGCATTCTACCTACATGTAGGTGAATGAGAGTGTCAGCTCGAGTGATATCTCTTGCTCCTGCTCCTGATGCTGGATAGCCACTGCTGCCTCTGTTGCTCCACTGTAGGAGGACACCTGCAGCTGATCGGAGCTGCCGCCTCCGCCGGCGCCGGCGCCGGCTAAACGCTGAAAACAATTTCAAGAAGAGAAACAAATGAAGAAAATTACAGTGACCAGTTATGTTGCTTTTTTAAAAGACAAAAACACTTTTTACTATCATAACTAGTACTAGAACAATGTGATCTTGACATTTTATTATTATTCCTTTTGCTGTTGCTGTTGTTCAGTTCGATACAGATAGCATGCAGTACAGACCAGCACACTGTCATGCATAGCACTGAAAAGGACCATAGCAGAAAACAGAGTTTTTCTTTTCTTGGCAATTAACAACAGAGTTACTAAAAGCCCATCTTTTTGCTTATACTTACACTTATCAACCAAAATTTAAATTTTCAACTTTATGATTTTGGAGTTTTTTTTTCATCGAAATTTATTTTTTATTATTTACTTTTCACTAAGAACACGTATATAAAAGTTTTATTCACAAATTATTTTTTATTTGCAAATATAACGTCAAACGATGGGGGCCTTAGGTCAAGAGATAAAAGAAAATGATGAGGAAATAAACCAAATTGGTGTGCCAAATTCAAGAACTAAACACAAAATATATGTTCTTGTGTCCAAAATGAATGCAAAAGAGAAGACAAGAGATCGATGAACTCAAATTAACACACACGCTCTGACCTCGTCGTGGCGGCGCGAGACGTTGCCGTCGTCGTCGACGAGGTAGCCGGCCTCGGCGCAGAGCGCCCGGAGGACGTCGTTCTGGTCGGCGTGCTTGGGCAGCGCGTACCCGGCGCCGGCGCGCAGGCCGGCGTAGATCCTCGTCGCCACCTGCCGCCGCCGCCGCTCCCGCTGCCGGTTGTTCTCCCGCTCCCGCGCCGTCGGGTGCCGCAGCGACGTCGTCACCCCGCCGCCACGCCCCCTCCGCCGCACCGTCCACGGCCCCCGCGTCGACCTGATGCACCCCCTCCTCCCCGCCGCCGCCGCCACCGCCTTCGTCCCCGGCGCCATTGCCGCCGCCGCTTCGCCACCCGCTTCCTCTCTCCCAGATGCTACCACCTGATCCATGAGCTTGGCTAGCTTGAGCTCGAGCACTCACTCTCACTGATCACTTGCTCACACACACACACACACACACACACTCACTCACCTCTCCAACCAACACGGCAACACACCAACACAACACGAGTATTTATACATGAATTGCCATTGCCATTGCCATGGCCTTCTTCTTGATCCCCATTGTGAAAATAAAGCCAAGTGCTCCTAAGCTAGCTAGCTCATGAGACTTGTTTCTATGTGCATGTAAGATGCATCTCTCTATCTCTCTTTTCATGAGAGGAATAAGGTGGTTGGAGGCATGTAACATATGTGTTGAGTATAGTACAAATAAGTGGAGGAGAGAAGAAGGGCAACAGAGAGAGGGGCTATTTTTGCCAGAAAAGGAGGAATCGTTTTCATCCCAAGTACTTCCAATGGTTTCATGCCCCCATTTGGATCTCCTCTCTATATCTACAGCCTTTCTGGTTAAGCTAGCCCTCTTGTCTCCATGCATCCAGATGCTGCAGGTTCAGTAGTGACAGAGACACAGAGTGAGTGAGTGAGTGAGTGGAGCCTAGAGAAAACCAGCTTACAATTGCATGCATGCATGAAGGGAATTGATGCTGTGCATGCAACAGTCCAATGCCAGTATGCCACTGTGCTAGTGTGCATGCATATGTGGCTCTCATTGCATATGCATGCAAAAATCATAACCAAATTGTATCTCAGGTGTTGATCTTTCAGTTTCCTATAGCAATGCGTGATATTTGAAGTATTGTTAGTCTTAGAAATTTCAGGATGGCTAGTGTCATGAGGATGGATTCTAATCTCTCGGGTGGACATCCACTCGTTTCTTGCATGTCACCTAAATGATTATGAAAAAATTTCAAAAAAAAACACAAGATAGTTTAATATGTAATATATCACTTCACAAACATGCAAGTTCAAATTCGATTTCTACAAGTTGTAACGAAAATAACAAATCAAACTCTAACTAGTATACGTATATTCACAGTTAAATTTATTGTTTTTGTTACAACTTGTAGAAGTCGAATTTGGACTTGCATGTTTGTGAAGTGATATATTACATATTAACCTATCATATCAATTTTTTTGAAATTTTTTCATAACCATTTAGATGACATGCAAGAAACGGGTGGACATCCACCCGAGTGTTTAAAACAGTTTCCCCTAGTGTCATTGATTAGTTGGGTGGTCAAAAGGGGAGCAAGAACCACCAGATTTTGATTGCTCATGAGACATGTGCATTAGAATCTATAAAATTCTCACGCATGCTTGCTTACATTTTGGGGGTCACGGTTCAGGTGTGCCACACTCACACTGGTTTGGTTGAACTATGATGTGCAATTGTGCATGCATGCATGCCAACTGAGAGCACCAGCCAACACCAGGTAGATGAAAGGATATAAACACGGGTAAGCAAAATTATCAAGGAAGCCTATGACTAGGCAGACAAGTATTTAATTTGAGCAAAGTTCAGCATGATCCCTAGCTGTATTTACTGAATTATTTAGCAGTTTTTCACCCCACGTATATGTGAGAGGCAAATGGCCATCTCTGAATTTTTAGATTGTTTTTTTGGTTTGTGAATAAGGCTATATAGTACATTGCACAATGTACTTATGATCTGCTAGTGTGTGTTGGTAGATGAGAGGGTTCTTCGATGGGATTTAACCACATATGCTGCTGTGAAGAGGTAAAGACAAACATAGCAGGACAAGGATATAAAGTAAAAAAGGAGATTACCACACCATGCTGCTTCAGAAGTTCAGACACGCTCTGGCTGCTGCATTTTTCCTGGGCCAATCCAAACTTCAGTTTAGCTCACCTAGCTTTCAGTGTTATACAGAATTACAGTTTACTGCACGAAGAACCTTCATGTATTCACTGCACATAGGAGGTTTCTACCCTGCAGTAATAGTAGTACTAAGTACTGTAACTTTGGTTAGTCAGAGTGTCAGATGCTCATGCCAATCGATCTTCATCATGTTCATGGCATGCACATTGCTCTCTTTGCCCACCCCTGCTGAACATGATAGAGAAATTCATCACTTACCGTGCTGCCATTTGACAGAAAATATCTCTTCAGCTGATCAGCTCGCCAGGAAAAAAAAATCTGAGTTGATTTGCTACTGAACTGCACAGCACTGTAATGATAAATTACACGGTCTCTTTGCTTATAGCCTTAATACTGCAGTACTAGGAGTAACAACAACTATATGCACTCCAGTTACTACAAGATCGAACCAGTAATCCGGTATACCGCCAAAATCGCCACGTTTCACTTCGGGATTTCGAAATTGCTCTGAATTCCTGCGAATGAGAGAACCATTTGGCAATTTTTAACTTGTAAGCAGGAGCAAACGAACATATATGCAGGAACAAAACATCACGACTCAAAAAATGAAAGATGGTAAAAGCCTGAAATGTAATCAGAAATTGTTCTCTTTTCTACTTTTCTCTTCAGAAGTTCAGAGGAAGTCTCTCTCTCTCTCTCTCTCTCTCTCTCACACACACACACACACACACACACCAAATCATGTCAGGAAAAAAACAAAGCACATTCCCAACTGCTTGTCCCTGAACTCCCGGTTGATTTGATTCTCCTTTCCTCCTCCTGCTCCACCTGCACCTAGGTTTCCTGGGATTACGCAGGAATTTACTCTGCTCCCGGGGGAAGAGAAGAGAATTTTACAGCTACTCCAGTCTCCAGGCTTGCAGCATCTGATCTGATGACTGTCTGTGAGCTGCAGTTCATCCGGCGTCTCAGTCCAAATCGATCCAATCAATCTCATTCTCGTGGCTGTTCTTGGTGGTGATGATTGGGCGGGAGGAAATTCTCGGCGCCGCAGCCTTCCTCCTCCTGCTTGGAACGCCGCGAAAGGCGTCGGCGCCATGACGTCTGCTTCGTCAGAATCGCAATGGAGAGAGAGAGAGAGAGAGTCGTCGGCTAGCTCCATGGATCGACGCCGCCACGCGGACTGCGGCAGGAACCCTCGCTTCGCCGGCCGGCTCCCCGCCGCCGGCCTGAGGAAAAGTTAGGTTTTTTTTTTGGAAAAATAATGGATTCTTAAGCCTTCTACTTTTATTTTTTTTCTAATCAAACTTCTTTAAATTAAAAAAATGACAACGCATACAACACCAAATTAATTTTACTAAACCTAATATTTAATATTTTGTGTGGAATTTTTTATATTTTTCTATAAACTTATTCAAACTTAAAAAATATGAAAAAAAAAAAAACGACTTATATGAAACACTTAGGCTGCTTTCGTTGCTGGGAGATTGAGAGAGAAAACACATCTTTTTCGCGCAGACGCTTTCCGAACTACTAAATGGTATATTTTTTTGGAAAACTTTTCTATAGAAAAGTTGTTTTAAAAAATCATATCAATCCATTTTTAACTTTAAAATAATTAATACTTAATTAATCATATACCAATAACTTACCTCGTTTTACGTATCTCTTTTCCATTTTCCTCAAACACAGCTTAGGGCTTGTTTGGGGAGCTTTAGATTCTGAGAAGCAGTTGTTTGGTAGCCAGCTTCTGAGAATCTGGAAAAGCTCTGAAACCCCGTTTCTCCAGCTTCTGGCTTCTTAATTCATTTTTCAGAATATGTAACTACAGATTCTCAGAAGCTGTGAACTGTTTGGGGCAGCTTCTAGCAGAAGCAGCTTTTGGGAAAAGCTGCAGCTGGGATAAGCTCCCCCAAACAGGGCCTTAGGCTCCTCTTGATTCAATGGTATGCACTATGCAGGTATATTTTCAGCGCACTCGAAACAAGAAAACTCAGTAGCACATAATTAATTAAGTATTAACTATTATAAAATTGAAACATAGATTTATGTGATTCTTTTAAACAATTTCTACATAGAAACTTTTAGTAAAAGCACACTATTTAGTAGTTCGAAAAGCGAGAAAGTTAAAGTTTGGAGATGAGAAAAGGTACTAAGGCCTAGGTACTCTATAGGCTTAAATACGCTAAATAGGCTTAACATGTTAGCCCAGCCCAAGATGTTTCCTGCAAGAAACGGTGGGCCTGAACAGAGCGGCCATGTTAGTCCGAGACCATTTGCGAATTAATGGGCTTCTCTGAAACTCTGAACTTTTTCCTTCCTTTTTTTTTTTTTTGCGGGGACTGAAACTCTGAGCTTTTGATGTGCTTCTTTTCTTCTCGTATCCTATCATCAGTTCAGAGAAGTTCAGGTGCGTGTATCAAACGAAGAAGAACAGGATCACCGTCCTTTTCTGGTCGTTCCATCACACATTCACATTGCCAAGAAGACATTTTCATCGCTTGTGAACTCTGAAGCCTGAACATTTACTAGTACTACACGGGCGAGGCGATGGTTTTGGTTTTTGTATTGTTTTCTGCAGGCAGAAAACAGGTCTGAACTTTTCCTGTCACGCACTCACACGGGAATACTCCTGGATATATACTTTCAGAGTCAAAGAAATACGAGTATTTGCAAGTTTGAGCCAGTAGTAAAATGATGAAAACTGAGACAAGACCCAGCTTCAGCCGATAAGCAGTAGAAAAAGCAAATTACAAACTTGGCTCTGATTGTTTGAAAGCTCGTGCCGGAAAACATGCCTCCGATTGTTTGATTTGAGACTAATAAACCCTAGAAAATGAGTAATCCATATGTAAAACTTTTATATATATATATATATTTTTAAACGGTTTAAAATCCAACATTAAAAGGACTCAAAATCAACTTTAAAACTAGGTTCTACTGTAAACTTCAAATTTGGCTATGCTGATTAGATAACTAACTACTCCCTCCGTACTAAAATATAAGAGATTTAGGGATGAGACTTTTTCTAATACTATGAATTTGGACATGCTCTTTGTCTAAATTCGTAGTATTGTAAAGTGTCACATTTATCTAAAATCTCTTATATTATAGGACGGAGGGAGTATCACAAGCTAAAAAAAAATCCTAAAGGCCATTTTGGTTTGATACTAAAAACATACCCTACCAATTTGTTGGCAAATTAAATAGTATATATGTATTAGTTTGGATTGAGACTAAATGTTTGTTAGTGCCCCTATCATATTTAGTCATATTCTAAAAGTTTCTCAACTATACCGTGAGAATTTAGCTTTATATTGGTAGCGATCTAAATGCTAGCTAAATAATTTTACCCTACCAATATTAGAATTTAGCTTTATATTGGTAGCGATCTAAATGCTAGCTAAATAATTTTACCCTACCAATATTAGAATTTAGCTTTATATTGGTAGCGATCTAAATGCTAGCTAAATAATTTTACCCTATTAATATTTTGGTAGTGCCAAAGTTTACCAATAAATTGGTAGAGTAAAGAACCAAACAAACCCTAAAATCAACTCTAAAATTGTCAGC